ACAACGCCCCAAGTCAGTGCCCTTTCCCCCTCGTTCCCCCCCATTCTCCCCTTCTCCCTACTCCCTCCCCCTTCCCCCCTGCTCCCTCCCCCTTCCCCCTCGCCCCCTTTTGGTCGCTTTGCGTTCAGATATGGTCGTTCAATCCGTTGACTCTTATGTTGATTCAATCCAGGCCTTCATGAGATATTTTCGGTCACCCCACTCTCACACCACCACCACGCTCACTTCACCCTCATGTTTCATGTCTCACCCACCTTACTCACCTCACTCTTCCGCCTCACTCTTTCAATGAATGCTGGAGTGCGTCTGGTGTGCCCATCCAAACTCTTTCCATCCCATATAGAGCTCTCTTTCCATTCGTTCCCATACTCTTTCCCGACACACCCTTCTTCCCCTGCACCAACCCCCCCCTCCTACCCGCCAACCCCTCCCTTCCCCCCACCTCCCTCCCCCTGCCTATCGCCCATCCGACACCCCCTTACCAACGCAGGCGGGGCAGCCCGCGCTACCCCACGTCGCACTTCTACACATACGCGGAGGAGGACTTTCGAGGAGACTGGGGCAACATGCTTCCCCACCTCCCGCCCCTTGCCTTCCTTTTCCCTTGTGAACAGGCGTGGCAGTCCGCGCTACCCCACGTCGCACTTCTACACTTACGCGGAGGAGGACTTTCGGAGGGACTGGGGTGACGTGGATCCGCCACTCTTTGCTGACATCCTCGCCCTCATGGGTGACGTCAGCGACAACATCCCCGGTTCGTGGTGACTCTTTGGAGAGGTCTTACGGAGGGCTTTGTTTTATGTGAGAAAGTGCAGTTTGAGAATCGTCTTGGTGTTCGAAGAGCAATGTGAGAGTTACATGATATGCGTCACATTCATTCATGTGGTGTGGGTACTGGCAGTTCATGTGGTGTGGGTACTGGCAGTTCATGTGGTGTGGGTACTGGCAGTTCATGTGGTGTGGGTACTGGCAGTTCATGTGGTGTGGGTACTGGCAGTTCATGTGGTGTGGGTACTGGCAGTTCATGTGGTGTGGGTACTGGCAGTTCATGTGGTGTGGGTACTGGCAGTTCATGTGGTGTGGGTACTGGCAGTTCATGTGGTGTGGGTACTGGCAGTTCATGTTTGCTTCCCTCCCTGTCCTTCCCTCCCCTTCCATACTTCTCCGTTTTCCCAGGGGCGCGTGGCATCGGCCGCAAGAACGCACCCAAGCTCGTCCGCAAATACGGTGGGTTCTGCCTTCATGATGGCTAGGATAACTGCTTCTGCATTCCTTCCCTCCCCTTCCATACTTCTCCGTTTTCCCAGGGGCGCGTGGCATCGGCCGCAAGAACGCACCCAAGCTCGTCCGCAAATACGGTGGGTTCTGCCTTCATGATGGCTAGGATAACTGCTTCTGCATGATAGAGGCACAGACTTGATGCTGCATCAGATAGTGTTCTCTCTTGTTCTCTCTTGTTCTCTCTTGTTCTCTCGCGTTCTCTTGCGTTCTCTCGCGTTCTCTCGCGTTCTCTCGCGTTCTCTCGCGTTCTCTCGCGTTCTCTCGCGTTCTCTCGCGTTCTCTCGCGTTCTCTCGCGTTCTCTCGCGTTCTCTCGCGTTCTCACGCGTTCTCTCGCGTTCTCTCGCGGTCTCTCGCGGTCTCTCGCGTTCTCTCTCGTTCTCTCGCGTTCTCTCGCGTTCTCTCGTGTTCTCTCTTGTTCTCTCGCGTTCTCTCGCGTTCTCTCGCGTTCTCTCGCGTTCTCTCGCGTTCTCTCGCGTTCTCTCTTGTTCTCTCTTGTTCTCTCGCGTTCTCTCGCGTTCTCTCGCGTTCTCTCGCGTTCTCTCGCGTTCTCTCGCGTTCTCTCGCGTTCTCTCGCGTTCTCTCGCGTTCTCTCGCGTTCTCTCGCGTTCTCTCGCGTTCTCTCGCGTTTTCTCGCGTTCTCTCGCGTTCTCTCGCGTTCTCTCGTGTTCTCTCTTGTTCTCTCTTGTTCTCTCTTGTTCTCTCTTGTTCTCTCTTGTTCTCTCTTGTTCTCTCTTGTTCTCTCTTGTTCTCTCTTGTTCTCTCGCGTTCTCTCGCGTTCTCTCGCGTTCTCTCGCGTTCTCTCGCGTTCTCTCGCGTTCTCTCGCGTTCTCTCGCGTTCTTTCGCGTTCTCTCGCGTTCTCTCGCGTTCTCTCGCGTTCTCTCGCGTTCTCTCGCGTTCTCTCGCGTTCTCTCGCGTTCTCTCGCGTTCTCTCGCGTTCTCTCGCGTTCTCTCGCGTTCTCTCTTGTTCTCTCTTGTTCTCTCTTGTTCTCTCGCGTTCTCTCTTGTTATTTCTTGAAAGCAGCTCTCGTGACAGCTAGACCTACTGCCCATTACTGCTTGCTCCAAGGGCTAATGCTTTATCTTTCTTACCATGATGCCACTGCACAATCTTGCTGTCTGAGCAGCACCACCCTCCCACCATAATCTGCCATGTTCCAGCCATAATCATGTCGACATGTCATGCTGCATGGCAGGGTCTGTGGAACGAATACTGGAGCGGCCAGAGCAAATACTGGACAAGAGGGGACGAGAGGTGAGTCACTGGTGGGGCTTCTGTGCTCCCTTCAATCTTATGCTCTTGAATTGTAGGCATCTTTTGAGGAATCTCAATCGGACCTGCAAAACCTTGACGAGTAGGATTCTGAGTTATCTCAATATCACAAACACTGTGAACCACTCACGACACGTCATATAATCCCCTGCGTTGCATCTTCTCTGTGTGTTTGTGTGTGTGTGTGTGCGCGTGTGTGGGTATGCATGCATGCGTGCAGGCAGTGATAGCCAGCAGAGACTCTATAATCCAATCTAAGGAACTGGTGAGCACCTCTCTTGAGCGGTCATCTTTCTCTCACGCCTTACTCATGGCCCATCCACCACCCACTTCCTTCTCCCATTTCCCATGGGCTCCCTGCTCCAAGCCGTGCCTCAGAATGTGTCGGACTTACATTTCCCTTTGCTGGCAGGTGTCGCTCCGCATGAATGTGCCACATGGGAAGTCATGGGACGACCTCCGCTTTCACCCACCCGCGGTGAGTACACGAGGAGTACCACCAGAAACGTATGTAGGTGTGGAAGGAAGTTACGGCTGGTCACCGCTATTGATGGTTTAGTTACCAGCATCCAAAGACATTACATGCATTGTTGTTTTTGAAGTTATCATTCCTTCTTGTTTGCTTTTTTTTTTTCCATGTTGCAGGATGGTGGTGTCGATTTTTGGAAGTTTATGCAAACATTGGAAGAGGATTCAATCCAAATGAAGTCTGGCATAAGGAAACGATTGGAGGCAGTGTGGTCTGAGATCCAAAATTAGTGCAATGTTTCTATTTACACAAGATGTTCCATAACCTTTTTATTCAGTAAGCGAAATAGTAATAATGCGAGCTACTTGGCGACAATCTTGAGGCGTAGTGTCGTCACAGAGCCAACCAGGGCCTCGGGATTGTCGAGCGATCTTTAGTGGTTGCGCGGGGTGGGTCTACAGTATCAGTGGGTGCTTGCTCGGACCTCAGGTTTGTGTCGGTCGTCGGTATGGTACGGTACGGCCTCCTCCTGCCCTCTGCTGCAGCTGAAGTTCATGCAACAGTCCACCATTCCCCTCCCCATGCTTTACAAAAGCTTCATTCGTCAATTTTCGTCAGCGATTTTGCATCAGTCAAGCGAGCCTCATGTATTTTGAACGCGATGATTCGCCATTAATGAGTTTGTCGTGCCTCGCTTCGTCCGTAGACACTAATGAGGACTAATCTGGGAGATTAGTGGTGCAATGAGATAGCGCGTGACGCGGATCGTTTAAATTGTGCCGATGCGACGCTGCGATTCAAAGGCATGATCTTGCACACAGTTTCGCAAGTTCACCCTGCGAGCTCGCAAAGATTTTGAACCTAAAGCGCATCAGTCCTGGGATGAGCAGTCGCACGCAAGCTTTGCAAGCGGTGCCGAACGCACACTTCGTGTTCCGAAACTCAGGACCCAGGCCGGCATCCTTGTCCTAAATCGTTGATTCTATTTGACAGCTCTGACCTAGTGTGCCAGCCATGGACGAAGTCAGAAGATTCGCGGAAAGCATGATTCGGACGGCGTCGAATCGAATTATGTCCAGTCCTCTCGATAACTCTGCCTCTCCTGCTGTCGTACGATCCGTCCAACTCCCCTACCTTCATCTCCTCAATCTTCAGACTGCTTAGCAGCGTCTTAACCCTTTTCAGGGAAACGTAATTCAAACCATTTTCACGCACAAGCTAGATGTTTACACATTCCGCATTCTTCCGGGTCAGGCCTTGGTCGATTCACTTAGCTGGTCATTTTTCACGTCTTTTTAGTTAGTTCTGATCGATCAATGTCCCGGTTTGTCCACTTCTCCACGACCCTCCCTCACGCTTTGAGCAGCCGGACACATTCCGTTCTGGCAGCAGGAACAATTCCAATCAGGATCTTTCAAATCGCACAGGCAGTCCGAGCGGCTTTCTGTCGCGAGGAGGCAATGCGAATGGGTACGGGGACAGGGACAGAGACATAGGGGGAAATAGGGAGTACGACAGAGACAGAGACAGATACGGGGACAGAGACAGGGAGTGGATCAGGGGGGTTAGCGGTCTTGGCGCCAAAGGCGCGGGTGCTAGCAGCAGCAGCCACAGCGGCGCATCCCGCACTCAGCGCACTCTCGACTATTCCGACGCGTCCCCCGAGCGCCCTCTAGGATCCCCCTCCCAGATCCTGCTCGCGCCTGCCTCCCCACCTCGCTTCCACTCCCCCTTGCGAAATGCTAGCCCCAACCCTGGGCCTGCCAGTAGAGGCTTCGGTCGTGGTCCCTCTGGCGCCGCCTCTTCGTCGTCCTCCTCTTTCAATCAGCTAACTCTACTCGCCTCTGGCGACGATGGGGCAGGATCCCCGGTTCCATCATCATCAGGAGCACAATTCGCAGGAGGAGCAGGAGGAGGGGTAGGAATGGGAATGGGTAGCCGTACCCCCATGACCGCCCCTCCTGCTTCTCGCAGCCGCATGGCTGCTTACTCCTCTCCCTCCCCAGACCCTCGTTACCCCAGTCCAGGTCAATCATCCGGGTATGACTCAGAGTCATCCCCCTCCGTTGCTGACGTGGCAGCTGCGGCGCTGTCTGACGTGTCGGAGGAGGATTTGCGGACGAGAACCCCGGTGATGGTGGGGAAGCGGGCGCTGATGGGAGTGGAGGGTATGGGAATGTCAGGGTCGCCCGGGTTCCTGTCAGGGTTCATAGCGTCTCGTCCCAAGAACGACCGCGCTGAGATGCTGGACCCCAAGTTCTACCTCGAGGTGGGTGAGGTTGTGTGCGGTGGAATGAGGTTGAGTGAGACTGATGGTGGTGGGTGTCTGTTTGTCCAAGAGAGGGGATGTGGAGGGGATGGGAATGTGAGCGTCTCGCCCCAGGAATGAGCACGCTGAGATGCTGGACCCCAAGTTCTACCTCAAAGTGGGTGCGACTGGGTGTTTGGACAAATGACTGAGAGGGATTGGTGGTGGGTGTTTGTTCGAGGAAAAGAGGGGTTGTGGAGGCCATGGCGCATGGGAATGTCTCGTGATTACCGAGGGCCAGGTTCAGTTAGGATTCATAGCGGCGGTGTTCGCCACGACCACGTTATAGGCGAGGGGCGGAGGATGGGCGAGGGCTCCAGAAGGTGCGCACGAAGTTGCGAGCTGCGTCCGGGGGGGCTCGCCCTCTACTGAAATTTCGCCAATGGGATCAGGAAGGGGGACAAGGGGATCTAGCACCTGCCTCCCCCTTTCCCTTAGAGGGGATTTTTTTTCAGGAAGGGGATGCACCTTTGAAATTTGTGGTATGCACGAGGGAGAGGCGAGAAATGGGATGGGATTCCTAGCTGGCAGGGCAGGAAACTGCCATGCGCATTCCGGATCCCCCGCCCCAACCCATAAAAGTGGGTGTTCGCCACGACAAGCAAGCCCACCGTGGTTCGGAGGGGATCGTCAGGCTCGACAGGATTTTGTCGGTCTGACCGGCCCCAAAACCCTGATTTCAGCCCTTTTCGAAGGTGCAAGGCGGATTCCGGATCCCCCGCCCATCCCTTTGATGGCCCACAAAAGACGTGGCGAACAGGGCCAGTGTGTTGACTCAGAAGCGAAGATGGGTATGGCTGTTGTACACTTCATGAAGGCCAGTGAAAAACCCCTAGCCAAACCCTTTCTCGCGATTCCTACCCCTTTTGCTTGGTTCCCTCACCCCACCCATTTCCCCAGTCGTTTGACGCTGTCAGGGCGGAGCTGAAGCAGCTCCCGCGAAACACGGTGGCGCCGCAGCAGCTGGGCTGGCCGCTGAATGCTTTTCAATGGGACCTATCAAACAGACCACTCTTTCTTCCCCTTGCCCACCTCTCCCTTCCCCATTCGTTTGACGCAATGGGCGGAGCTGGAGCAACTACTGCGGGTCACGGTTGGTGTGCCTGCAGCTGGGACTCGAAATACCATTCTCTTGTCTCCCCTTGCCTCCCTTCCACACCCTTATCCCAGTCGTTTGACGCTGTGAGGGCGGAGTTGGAGCAGCTACCGAGCGACACGGTGGCGCTGCAGCAGCTGGGCATGCACAGCGGGCGGCGGCTGCTGCAGCTGGACGTGATCACGGAGCAGCTGGCCACGCAGGTCATGAACCACCACCAGAAAATGGGTGCGTGGGGGTGGAGAGGGGTGCATGCAGGTGGTGGGGTGTGTGTGTGTGTGGTGATGGGTGCGTGCTCTTCAGACATGATGGAATGGATGGATGGACTGCCTTCCATCCATGCTGCTGCAGCTGGACGTGATCACGGAGCAGCTGGCCACGCAGGTCATGAACCACCACCAGAAAATGGGTGCGTGGGGGTGGTGGGGGGGTGCGTGTGGGTGATGATGGTTGCTTGCTTTGTAGACATAATTATAAGAAAATCAACAATCGCGAGTGTAGGCTTTGGTGAAACGTAATTGTTCGGTGAATATTCCTTGCAAATTTGCCTCTCATCGTGCGCGGTGCGGTGTGGTGCGGTGCGGTGTGGCAGTGCAAGGAATGCAGCTGGTGGGGGAGCTGGACCGAGAGCTGCGGGTGGTGTCCGTCATCTGCCGGGTATGATGGCATGCCATGATATGATATGGCATGGCATGGCATGGTGGTGTCCGTCATCTGCTGGGTATGGAGGGGTTGCATGGCATTCCATGCGGTGGTGGCACGGTGGTGGTGTGCAGTAAGGAGGGGATAGGATGCACTGGGATTCAGTGGAAATGGTGTAGCAGTCATCGTTTGTGAATGACATATTGTGGTGGAGGGGGAATGACTGTACGTGCATGCCAATTTCTCCACCAACCCCCTCCCCCCACATTCCCCTCCTGCCTCCACCTCTCTCCTCCCTCTATCCCTCTCATGTCAAATGCACAAATTCCCCTCCCCCCTACCAATCATGGCACACGCACATGTTGCGTGCAGAATGCGAGGCGGCATCTGAACAAGGCGATGGAGGAGGTGGCGAGCGACCTGGTCGTGGCTGCTAGTGTCAACAAAAAGAAGATGCTCACTGTGAGTCTTGACTCATAGATGCTCACTGTGAGTCTACTCCACTGTGCATGTTGATTGATTCGACCTCCCTTGAGCTGACTCGAGCTGTGCTCAGCTCACTCACTGTGTGAGCCCTTGCCCGCGCTCACTTCAGCATCGCCCCTTCCGCGCTGAGCCGTTGCTCCTCATCACCCTTGCCTCGCCACACCCCTCTCCCCCACCAGAGCATGCTACCGGTGCTGATGCGCATGTAGTAGGTGGTGGACGTGGACTGCCTTGATTCTATTCCTCCTCTTCCCCCCTCACCAATCCCTCTCTCCCCCGCCAACCAGAGCATGCTGCCAGTGCTGATGCGCATGCAGCAGGTGGTGGATGTGAGGGGCCGCATGGATGCATGCATCGACGAGGGCGACTTCGCCCGCGCGCTGCGCCTCTGCTCGCACTGCCTCGTGCTCATCGAACAGAACGCTCAGCTGGCTTCGATACGAGACATGAACATCAGCATTGAGGTGGGTGTGTCGGTGGGAGTTGAGGTGGGCGTGTCAGTGGGTGTTGAGGGTGATGGAGGGTTGTGTGGGGGTGGGGAGAGGCACATGGGTGCTGCTGCTGCTGCTGCTGCTGCTGCTGCTGCTGCTGCTGCTGCTGCTGCTGCTGCTGCTGCTGCTGCTGCTCATGCGCTGCTCTGCCCCTCTGCTCGCACTCCCTCGTGCTCATCGAAGAGAGCGCGCAGCTGGCGGCGATACGCAACATGAACATCAGCATCGAGGTGAGCAGCAGTTTGTCCCAGAGCCTTGTTTCTTGCATCCATGGCCTAGTGCTCGTCGAGCAAAACGTGCAGCTGGCAGAGGTTCGAGATATGAACCTGCTTCATTCCCTGTGCCTGCCCCTGTGTCTCGATTCCCTCCACCTTCCCGCACCCAACAGGAGTGTCTTACCTGGGTGGTGGACCATGTAGATGCTCTGCTCTTCACTGTCTGCAAGTCCTTCTGTTCCCTTCCCCGTGCCCTATTGTGTCCTCCGCTCCTCCCTCCATGCCCCCTCTCCCCAACCCTCAAACAGGAGTGGCTCACCCGGGTTGTGGACCATGTAGATGCTCTGCTCTTCACTGTCTGCAAGTCCTTCGACTCGCCTTCTTATGCAGTCGTAAGCCACTTCAGCCCTACGGAAATTTCAACTCTCTGATCATAAAAGTGCTTGGTGTCGCTTTTTGCCGGGTTTGCATATGTATGTGCTCATGTCCGAATCCCACCTGCAATCCATTGTCCGAGCAGCTTCCAGCAGGTTTTACCCCCGTCATGTGCATCCATCAATGCCCCATATGCATCTGATGGCCCACTGAAAGAAAACTTGCCTTTCGCCCCGCGTTACCACAGTGGTACCGCCAATCAGCCATCAGCATATGATGGTTAATGCTGCAATGGACGACTCATAGGGTCGTCACATTATCAGTTCTCTCTCCGCTTCCCCTTTTCGGCACCCCTCAGGTGATTGATGCGTATGCAGTGATGGACGATGCGGCCACGCTGGCCGACAAGGTGCAGAACTTCTTTGCACAGTCGGTCGTCACCTGCACCTACGACACACTGCTGCAATTCCTCGAGCAGGTAAGCTTTTGAGTCGACTCAAAAGTCACTTCTTTGCACAGTCGGTCGTCACTTGCACCTACGACACCCTGCAGCAGTTCCTCGAGCAGGTATGCCACTTTGTTTGTTATCTCGCGGAATTCTTAAAGGTGCAGAACTTCTTCGCCCACTCTGTCATCACCTGCACCTACGACACCCTGCTGCAGTTCCTGGAGCAGGTATGCTGCTGGCATTCTATTGCGAGTATTGACTTGCGTTTTGAGGCGTCACCTGCTCCTGCAACATGCAGTTGCATGCACTTCCTGTAGAAGGCATGTCGCGTGGCATGCCATGCCATTGAGTGTTGAGACGTCTCAAGAACTCAGTCGCACTTCCTGGAGCAGGTGCGGGTTGCATTCAAGAGAAACGTGGCTTTAATGGTCGTATCAAGCGCAGCATGTCTCATAACCGCAACTCTGAGTCTGCTCTGTGGTCTCCTGCGCACACATTGCTACTTCCCACTTTTTCACTCTCGCAACTGAGCTGTGTTATGTTACCCTCTGCTCTGCTCTGCCCTTGCTTGTCGTACAGGCGATGGGGGAGGATGACGGGCACAGAAGCAGGTGAGTGAGGCCGCATGGGGAGGAGAGGGTGATGTATCTCTTAGGTGCTTGCCATGTGTGCGGCTTCTAGTGCTCCATTTTGAGACGGCTCAAAACATCACTTGTGTCACGTGGTGTATCTCTTAGGTGCTTGCCATGTGTGCGGCTTGTAGTGCTTCATTCATGTCCTCCTGCTCCTGCTTCTGATGATCTCAGTCTGCTTTCGTCATTTTCTCTTCCTTGAACTTTGCACTCTGATTTCATCTCTTATATGATAAGTAAAACAGGGCAGCATTATTTTCTGCTCTTTGTGTTTCTATCTTATTCGTGTGCGTCTCCTCTGTTAAGTACCTTTTTTTTGCCTTCTTGTGCTTCCTGCCGTCCCATTAACCCGCCCTCACAGGCTGGCCTACAGTGAGCTGTGTGTGGAGCTGCCGGACGGCGTGTTCCGTCTGTGTCTGCTGCGTACTCTGGGTGTGCTCTTTGACCTGTTCACATCACACCACCACATGATGACGTGGCGTCACCCCTACGTCAAGGTAAGGTCATCCTCTGTGTATCCTCCATCTCATCCTTCCCTTGCTCTGCATGCTACAACCCTATGCCTGCTGCCATTGTGATGCCATGCTGCCACATGTGCTGCCATATGCTCTGCCATGTGTGCTGCTCCATCCATGTGTGCTTCTCCCATATTTGACTAGATTCAAAAAGCCTCCAACATAATGTCAATGAATCGCTTCCCCTGCCTCCCAGCACCTTTGCCTTCCTTCATGCCTCCATCCCCGCCTACCCTTCTCCTTTCCATCCCATCTTCATCCCTCCATCCCTCCATTCCTCTATTATCCCGTTCCCCCATCTACCCACCCATCCAACCACCCACCCACCCACCTACCCCCAGCGCCCCAACACAATTTCTATGGACCGCTTCCCCCGCATGCCAGCGCCAAACCCCATGTGTGCCTCTCTGTGCACACCTACCTTTGACTTTACCTTGGAGGTGACTTTTGAGTCGACTCAAAAGTCACCTCGCTACCTTTGACTATCCCTTTTCCCCCTCCTCCCCCTCATCCCCTCCCCCAGCGTCCCAACACCATGTCAAAGGACCGCCTCCTCCGCATGGCAGCACCACCTCCTGTGTGTGCCCCTCTGTGCACATCTCCCTCTGATTCCCCTTTGTCCCTTCCCCCCTCTCCTCTCCCCAGCGCCCCAACACCGTCAATGGACCGCTTCCCCCGCATGGCAGCACCAGACCTCGTGTGTGCCCCTCTGTGAAGATTTCAATCTAATTCCCTCTTTTTCCTTACTACCCCACCCCACCCACTGACCCCCAGCGCCCCAACACCATGTCAATGGACCGCTTGCATGGCAGCACCGGACCCCGTGTGTGCCCCTCTGTGCACACCCACCCTTTATTCCCCCCTTTCCCTTCCCCCCTCTCCTCTCCCCAGCGCCCCAACACCATGTCAATGGACCGCTTCCCTCGCATGGCAGCACCGGACCCCATGTGTGCCTCGGCGCCTGTCTCTGCCTCCTCCTCCGCCTCCGATCTCCCCCAACTGGCCCGCGTCCCCACTCCTCCTCACGGCCTTCCCCGCTCTTCCTCCGTCTCTGCTGCTTCTGGTGGCACTGCTGCTGGTGGTAGTGCTGCTCGTACTGGTGGTGCTTCTAGTGGTGCTGGTGAGGCAAACGGGGCTGCAGCTTCTGAGGGCGCTGCAGCAGGTGGTGAGGGCAGGGCACCCGGGGAGTCGCGAGAGGGGTTGCATGCGAGGCGGAGGAGCCAGAGCCTGGTGATCGAGATCCCTGGGGGCGGTGAGCAGCTACAGGAGAAAGTTGAGGAGGGGGATAGTGAGAGGGACAACGGGGCTGAACCAGGGAAGGTGCAAGACGGGGAGAGAAACAGCGGGAGTGAGGGTGCTGGTGGGTCAGACGGGCAGAGATCAGGTGTGCAGAGGACAGAAGCACAGAGGTCCAGTTCAGAGAGGTCAGATGCACAGGCGGCGCAGCAGCAGACGGGGCACGCGCAGTTGCAGCAGCAGAGGCGGCAGGTGAGGCGGTCGTCAAGTGAGGGGCACAACGAGGCATGGGGCAGTGCTGGTGCGGCTGCTGCTGCTGCTGGTGCTGAAGCTCTGGTGAGAGACGGCCGCCCTCCCATCCCCTCTGCAGGGCCTTCTGGGACAGAAGCAGCCGGAGGAGGCGGAGGAGGAGGAGGAGGAAGGGGGGGTTTGGGAGAAGGGATTGCGGCAGCAGCTGTCGCAGCAGCAGCCGCAGCAGCAGCAGGCGTTGGTGTTGGAGGTGGAGACGATAGAAGCAGAACTCGGGGTGGGGGAGGGGGAGCGGACATGGCACTGAGAACAGACGATGTGATGATGATGGGGAGTGACTTTAGGGAGGGGTCGCTGGCGGACCTGCCGCCCAACGTGGCGCGTAAAATGCGCGTCAGCACCACGGCTGCGGTGTGCCGCGCGCTGCAGAAGAATAGGAAGGCCGTGTGGGAGTTGGCGGCGAGGAGGGTGGGTGCGCTGCTCACTGCGCCGGCGCTCTGCTCGGGGTCGTCGCAACAGTTCCTCCAGGTGCGTTGCGGGCCTTTGCGTGCTGGCAGAACAGAACTTGTGGGCATGGGCTGAGGCTAGCAGAGAGGGGTCGCTGGCGGACCTGCCACCCAACGTGGCTCGTAAGATGCGCGTCAGCACCACGGCTGCCGTCTGCCGCGCGCTGCAGAAGAATAGGAAGGCCGTGTGGGAGCTGGCGGCTCGCAGGGTGGGTGCGCTGCTCACCGCGCCGGCGCTCTGCTCGGGGTCCTCACAACAGTTTCTCCAGGTGCGTTACAGGCCGGATGGCAGAACGTGTGGATAGGGTTGTTGGGGATCTACGATGTGACGATGATGGGGAGGGCTGTGTGGGAGCTTGCGGCACGCAGGGTGGGTCGCTGCCCACTGCATGCGTGCTCTGTTCGGGGTCCTCCCAGCCCAGTAGTTCCTCCTCCAGGTGGGTTCGAGGAGCAGATGAACAAGTTCCCATCGCAGCAGTAGGCGCAGCGTTCATGGGGATGCAGGCGAACGGGCTGGGAAGCAAGTTACGACATTTGTGGCGTGGAGCCTCACACTTCCTTTCCATTCATTTCACAAGAGGAGATGGCCATCTCCTCTTCGCCCGTGCCCCCGGTGCCTGGAGTGTGGACACATTCGCTGTCTGACTTTTGAGGCGCCTCAAAAGCTCCCTCACACGTCCTTTCCATTCATTTCACGGCCATCTCCTCTTCTCCCGCGCCCCCGGTGCCTGGAGTGTGTGGGCACGTTTGTTGTCTGAGTCAGCTCGTATGCCGAACCCACCTGGCTCTTCTTCTTTTCCTCCCTTCCCTTCCATTGTCATCTTCTCTTCTCCCTTGCCCCCAGTGCTTGGAGTGGGTGGACAAGTTTGCAGCAGTGGGAGAGGCGTTTACGGGGGTGGAGGCGGCGGGGCTGAGAACTAAGATGGTCAAGCAGAGCGAGGTGTACTTCAACACCTTCCACCGCCAGAACCTCAAGGTGCGGCTCATCCACAGCAAGTGTTGCATGTTGAGAGCCTGAGAGGCCGAAATGGTGAATCAGAGTGTTATTTTCAGCACTCCTCTGAGAAGGTACTTTGACAGGCAAGGTGCGGCTTTAACAGGCAAATAATTGTAAACCCCCACCCCACCTTCCCCCTCCCCTCTCCCATCACGTGCTTGCATGCATTCGCCAGGTGCTGAAGATGATTCTGGAGCGGGAGACATGGCTGCGCCTACCACCAGACACCATCCACTCTCTTACACAACCCACTTCTCTTTTGCAACCCCTGCTTCGTGCATGCACCCACCGCCAGGTGTTGAAGATGATCCTGGAACGAGAGACATGGCAGCGCCTACCACCAGAGACCATCCACACGCTCAGACTCATCAGCCTCACCACCTCCTCCGCCCCCTCCTCCTCTTCCTCCGCCTCCTCCTTTGTCCTCTCCACCCAGTCGTCCTCCAATTCTGTAGGGGGTAGGGAGAGTGGGGGAGCAGAGGGTGTGAGTTCGGGTGGTGAGGGAGCGAAGGAGAGGCGGGATTTCCGGGAGTGGTTGGAACGAGGAAACCCATTTGCAGCAGTGGAGGCAGGGGAGGAGGAGGCAGCGGAGGGGAGGGAGGGAGGGGAGAGGGCGGAGGGTGGTGAAAGGAGCAGCAGCGGGAGTGGTGACGGAGGGACGGGGGGCAGGGAAGGAGGAGCAGGAGCTGCATCTGGTGGCGCTGCAGCGTCAGCATCAGGGGCAGCAGCAGGGACGAGGGAAGGTGGAGACGGGAGCAGCAGAGGGCAAGCAGGGAACCCACAGGGACGGATTCTGCCAGGGGGGCGAGCAGAGTCAGACAGAGCGTGCCGAGGAAACCGGAGCCAAGCCCCAGCGAGGGGAGCAGGAGTGAGGGGCAGGGTCAGTGCGGATGGGGAGGGGGTAGGGGAGGGAGAGGAAGACGAGGACGAGAGGGAGGAGCTTATGGCGGATTATATAGACGAGGAGGAGGTGGGGGTGTCGGCGGCTGTGCTGGCGGGTAGGGGAAGGCGGAGGTCGGAGGATGGAGGTGGGGATGTGGGGGGGAGAGGCGGGCTGGATACGGGCCTGGCACTCACTGGCGCTGCTCTCACGGTCATCAGGTGTGTGGCTGCTGGGGTCGGTCTCTTATCGTCAGGTCTGGGGCTGCACATGTCCCTCCTTCAGATATCAGCAGCTGTGTGTTATCATTATGCTGCTGCTTTCATGTGCTCCTGTGCTCCTCTTCCCCTGTGGCCGCCCCTCTGTCCCCCTCTCAACCCCTCAGGCTCATGGACCGCTACACTCGCCTCATGGGACTTCTGCGGTTGGTTTGACTCGAAAGTCACCCTTGCTGCTTTTGTGTACTTCTCCCTTTTCCCCTGTGACCGCCCCTCTCAACCCCTCAGGCTCATGGACCGCTACACGCGCCTCATGGGGCTGCTGCCTCCTGTCGCTTCTGGGATCTTCGCTGTAAGTCCCCTCAGTGCTTCATTTCCTTCCCTCCTCCCTCACTCTCTCTGCTCCCATCCCTTGCTCGCTGCCTCCTTCCTTCACCTCTTGTCCGCGCAGCTACCAGGGGCTTTCTTTATCAGCTGCTTCAATTCAATTATGCCTTCATCTGTGCCCTAAACTCGTGACTGTGTACAACTGCCTGCCCCCTTCCTTCAATCGCTCTTTTGGCACTGTCCTGCCTACCTTTCACACACACACTACCCACACCCACCCCGCCAGGGTCTGTGCCAGTTGTTCGGGCACTACCTTTGGACAGGCTCTGATCCATTCCTCCTGCATGTGTCTGCGCCTCTTCCCCCATGACACACACACACACACCAGGGTCTGTGCCAGTTGTCTGACTTGTACCTCATGACAGTCTACTAACTTCCCCCCCATGCACACATATGCCCCCCACCCACACACCACACACACCCATGTACCAGGCCCTGTGTCAGCTGTTTACCATCTGCCTCGTGACAGTGTTCCGAGATCGAAATTCTGAATCAACCCTCCTTCCCACCACACACACATCTACCAGGGTTTGTGCCAGCTGTTTGACCTCTACCTCGTGACGGTCTTTCGGCTGTTTGGCAGCCCCGATGCCGTTAGCACACTGCGCTCCTCCGACCCTGCTGCTGCCGCCCGTGAGTGCTCTTCAACATGTCTGTGTCACATACTCTCCGTGCACATGCCTAATCACATGCCTATTCATATGTCTGGGGCAGCCTATTCGCCTCTTCCCTCCCCTCCTCCACCTCTATAGGCCCCTCTTGCCCCACCAGTGTTCATCCCTCTTTTTCTCATCACCTTTCTCCTGCCCCACCCACTGCTCCCCCACCCCTTACCACACTCTAACTCCCCCCCAGGGGCCAGTGCTGACCCTCAAGCTGCGCGCCACACTGGCACGTGTCGCACAGCGATTGGACGACGCGCACAACCGGCCCATCTCGTCCCTCTCCCCCACCGGCCCTCCATCTCTCCCCCACTCCTTCCAACCACACTCCCCCTCTCCCACAGTGCTGACCCCTAAGCTGCGCACCACACTGGCACGTGTCGCGCAGGGATTGGACGATGCACGCAACAAGCCCATCTCGTCCCTCTCCCCCACCGGCACTCCCTCCGTGACTGGCGCAGCGGCAGCAGCAGCGCTGGGAGAAGCAGCTGCCGCGGCTGCAGCAGCAGCAGTGGAGGCGGTGGGGGGGGTGATTGGCGGTGGGAGCAGCAGTGGCAGCTTGGCAGGGGGCGGTTCGAACAACGTACTGGTCTCTTCTTCAAACATGTTCGGACTTAAGGTGAGTGTGCGGGGGCACTGCAGCTATCTCCTTCCACTGCTTAGCCTTCTTCACAAGTAATGTCATGGAATTACTCATCCACTCGCAGACATGTCACAACAAGCACAGGCGCCACTCTCCACTGCTCAACCTGCATCTCCTTCTTTCCATGTTCCTTTTCCAGGAGCGCTGTGTGTGTGGCGATGGAGTCCCTCATCTGGCTTACAAACATCATATATGTGCCTCTGATCCCTCTCCAGGAGCGCTGTGTGTGTGGCGATGGAGTCCCTCATCTGGCTTACAAACATCATATATGTGCCTCTGATCCCTCTCCAGGAGCGCTGTGTGTGTGGCGATGGAGTCGCTAATGTGGCTAACGGACATACTGCGGCAGACCAAGCCTCAATTTCGCTCATGCATTCCTCCCGTATCTCTATCTCTATCTCTATCTCTATCTCTATCTCTATCTCTATCTCTATCTCTATCTCTATCTCTATCTCTATGACTTCCAACTCCCATCCAATCCCATGCAATGCTATCCCCAGGAGCGCTGTGTGGCGATGGAGTCGCTGATGTGGCTAACGGACATGCTGCGGCAGACCAAGCCGCGCTTCCAGTCGCTGCTCGCCCCGCCTGCCTGGACCTCCATGGATGTCTTCTATGCGCGCACGGTAGGTGCTTGCTCTCTCTCTCTCTCTCTGCCTGCATGTCTGCCTGTCTTTCTCTCTGCTTGTGGGCTTTAAGTAAACTCAGAACACGCCTGCATGGACTGCCCCCGTCTATCTCTCCCCCCGTCTCTCTGCCCGCTGTTCCCCCCGTCTCTCTGCCCCTCTGTCTCCCGCTCGTTTGCCCGCCTCTCCGCCCACCTGTCTGCCCGACTGTCTGCCCATCTGCCCGCCCTCTCTGCCCACCTGTGTACCCGTCTGTCTGTCCATATGCATCTGCTGCTCCCGCTGCTGAAGCTACTGCTCGTTGCTCATTGCCCTGTCTGTACTCCCATTCTCGGCCTTGCAAGCACTCTTGCTATGACTTCTGAGGCGCCTCAAAAGCCCTTTTGGCCTTTCCCACCGACATTCACTCCCCGTCAGCTCCAGCTGGACGCACGTGAGAGCACATCCTGCAGGGTGTTTTTGAGAATTCTCAGCTAGAATTCTCAGAATTCAAAAACACCAACCAGCTGGACGCACGTGAGAGCACATCCTGCCGGTATGGTACTGCGTCCAGCTGCTGCCCAGCATCGTCCTGATCACACCATCCTATATTCTTCAAATCAACCCCCCTCAACCCCCTCGTCCCTCTCCTCCTGCCTCCCCCCTCTCCTCAGCTGGGCGCAGTACCTACCAAACCTTGGGAGCTCATGAAGCTGCTGCTCATCATGGTTTCTTGGTACCCTACCTTTCCCCCCTGGAATTACCCCCTTCCTTTATTCCCCTTCCTTTCCTTCCGTCCTCAGCTGGACGCAGTACCAGACCTGTGGGAGCATGTGCTGCGAACCCTCGTCAAGCTGCTGCTCAACATAGCAGGCACGGCGGACCGCATCGCTGCTGTCAACTGGGAGCCGGTTGACATTGGCACACAGCACAACATGTGAGGCGCAGGGGTGTTTTTGCATCGCATGCGATGAGAAGGTTTTGTAGGATCTCCGTGAACACGAATTTTTAGGCGCCTCGAAAATTGCCTCACTTCACGCGGATGTCTTGCGGAGCAGATTTTTACATGCTCGGAAGTTTGCATGAGGTTTTCTGTTTTCTTATAAGGGATTCATGCGCACCAGTGTATCAAGAACCATCATCTTCATCCCCACCATCCTCCCTGCGACCAATCAGCTATGTGGAGAATCTGGTAGCCGAGTTCCGCCTTTTCGCCCACCGCTTGGGGCAGTCTGGAGCGCCTCGACAGGTCAGACTTTCCTCATGCCCTCTTCCAGGTTAGATGCCCCTAAGTTTTTCACTCAAGCCTCACTCTTATCTCACGGCACGCCATATCAGGCTTTACAAGTCAGACAATCTCGTGGCTCACTCGCACGCACACTGCCTGCCCTCTCCTCGTGCACGCATCCATGTGTGGATATGTTTGCCATACATCCATGCATGTGTGCAGGTGCAGGACCAGCTCGTCGCTTATGGCCTGGACGAGCTCTGTGATGTCAGCAGTCACCTGTAACCTTCATGCACGCACATCTCTCTCAGCCCATGCGTACACGCATGCAGGTGCAGGACCAGCTAGTCTCATACGGCCTGGACGAGCTCTGTGATGTCAGCAGTCACCTGTAACCTTCATGCACGCACATCTCTCTCATCCCATGCGTACACGCATGCAGGTGCAGGACCAGCTAGTCTCATACGGCCTGGACGAGCTCTGTGATGTCAGCAGTCACCTGTAACCTTCATGCACGCACATCTCTCTCATCCCATGCGTACACGCATGCAGGTGCAGGACCAGCTAGTCTCATACGGCCTGGACGAGCTCTGTGATGTCAGCAGTCACCTGTAACCTTCATGCACGCACATCTCTCTCATCCCATGCGTACACGCATGCAGGTGCAGGACCAGCTAGTCTCATACGGCCTGGACGAGCTCTGTGATGTCAGCAGTCACCTGTAACCTTCATGCACGCACATCTCTCTCATCCCATGCGTACACGCATGCAGGTGCAGGACCAGCTAGTCTCATACGGCCTGGACGAGCTCTGTGATGTCAGCAGTCACCTGTAACCTTCATGCACGCACATCTCTCTCATCCCATGCGTACACGCATGCAGGTGCAGGACCAGCTAGTCTCATACGGCCTGGACGAGCTCTGTGATGTCAGCAGTCACCTGTAACCTTCATGCACGCACATCTCTCTCATCCCATGCGTACACGCATGCAGGTGCAGGACCAGCTAGTCTCATACGGCCTGGACGAGCACTGTGATGTCATGCTCCACGGCATCTGCTCAAGGAATTTTCCTAGTCGTCAAGCACTCACCTGTAACCCCCATGCATGCATGCTCACTTGTCCATCCATGAATGCATGCATGCATGCAGGTGCAGGACCAGCTGGTGGCATATGGCCTGGACGAGCTCTGTGACGTCATGCTGGATGGCATCTGCCGGGTCAAGAAGTGCAACAGCAATGGCCGTGCCCTCATGTCCCTTGACCTTCAGGTGATTTCTCATGTCACTTGACCTCCAGGTGATTTCTCATGTCCCTTGACCTTCAGGTAAATTTCCACGTCCCTTGACTTCAAGTGAGTTTCTATGTCACTCGTCCTTCAGGCAATAACCTGTGTCACTTGACCGTTTCGGCAAATTTCTATGTCGCTTGAGCTTCAGGTGATTTCTCATATCACTTAACCTTCAGGTGGATTTTTCATGTCGAGTCAGGTCTCTCCCCGTGTCTCACTTTGAAACAGCATCAAAAGAGTTACTCAAGCCATTTTTTTCCCTCCCGTTTCTCATCACGCCTGCTGCTCCCAGTCGTCCTGCTTTGCCCATTTACTTTGGATTCATTCAACCCCTCCTGTTCCCCACCCATGCTCCATGCCCGTATCATCATCCGCAGGTGCTGGTGCAGGGGTTGCAGCCCATAGTGGGGCGGGGGGCAGTCAAGGGGCTGCAGCTCGTCGACAACTACATCAAGGTGTGTTTCCTCTGCTCGCCCTGCTCGCCTAGCCGTGGTGGCCTTTAAGTCGACTCGAAAGTCACCTTTTTTTTAGTCGACTCTGAAGTCTGCAGCCCATAGTGGGGCGGGGGGCAGTCAAGGGGCTCCAGGTCGTCAAAAACTACATCAAGGTCTGCTCTCCTTGCTCGGCCTCCCCGCCCCGCTAGCACTGCTCGCCCCGCTTGCCGAGTTCGCCCCTCTCCCTCTGCTCGCTTTGCCCACCCCTCTTGCCCCGCTCGCCACGCTCACGCTGCTGGCTGCTTGCTGCGTGGACAATGAATGTTGTAATGAAAAAAAGGGGTTTTTCACAGCGTTGGCACTGGCTTCTTGGCAAACGTATCTGTTCGACCTCATTCGTCTCAGACCATTGCGTCAAACGCGCATTGTGTGGTTGTGGGTGCGTGTGCAGGCATTCTACTTGAGTGAGAGTCAGATCATTGACTGGGTGCGAGCACATCCGGTGAGTACCCTGCCCTGCCCACTGCCCATCCCATCGTAGCTTCTTCATCGTCATATCTTCTCCACGCACTGTACTTACGAGAAAATGTGCTTTCTACTCATACCGTGATACATTTGTGACATTGTCAAGGATAGTTTCCCGTCGTGTTTATCGATTGACCTTGTACTGCGTTTGATTTTTGTTGATCGTGCAGGAATACACGAAAGCGCAGGTGATAGCATTGGTGGTGATGGCTGCTAATGGCGGCAACTGGAAACTGAAAAACAAGTTTGAGATTATTAAGAAGATTGATACAGGTGATCTGTCTTGAGATGTTTCTCCATCCATACTTAGGGAATCTGATTCTACCGTATGTTCAGTTTCCACTCTTCACTCACACTGGCATATATCATGGAAGCATAATAAGATGTAATCGCATAAATCCATACAGAACTGGTATGTGGAAAGGGGTCCAAGGAAAGGACTTCAACCTTAATGTCTCACTTTCTACAATGGGAAAGAACATTCATTTTGTTACAACCGCTTAGAACAGCATTTGCATCTGTTCAGTTCTAATGTCAAAGCGGATCATCCTTCTAAGGTGGCACTTTTCTTGTTCGCTGTTCACTTCCATTTCACGTCCCTTCGGTTTCGCGAATCGCCACTTTCACTTTCACTCGCGGGAGCCACACGTGCACCTTGGGCGCCGCCACACCATCGCGTTCAGCATCATGGGCCATGGCGTGGAGGGTGCAGTGGAATCTGCACTGTGGATTCCCCTGCAAGCAGGGAACAAGGACGAGCTGGGGGGGTGTCGTGTCGTCATCGACTTCCAGTGGATCAAGTGGTGGAAGGAGCTTCCTACAGTACAGTTCATCCCAGCAAGACTGTTCTGCTCCTGACTAGACTGATTGAACCGTTCTAGACCGTATTTAATTTGCGTGCACTCCAGCACTTATCCTACCATATCGTCTTCTCGTCACTCCCTAGTCGCAGACTGGATGCTTGCTTTACCATCTCATCTCGACCGCCACCACCGTAGCTCGGTTCCTCTTGCTCTCCTTCAGTTCGTGGTTGTACGCGTAGTGGCATCCCACCCGACACCTTCGTTTCATGGTCTTCGTATTGCGGTGCTGGCTTTAACTTAACTAGTAACCGTTCGTTAGCTCTCATGGACTTAAACTTAGACCCTCCGCCAGAGGATCCTAACTACCTTCCAGGAGGAGCCGATGTGGGAACTACCACGGGTAGTGCTTCAAGGAGTACCGAGTCTCGTTCGAGAGCCGCTCCCTTTCGCGATTGGGTTACCGATGATTGCGACGCTGTCGCCGCTACTTTTCGCGATCGCGTTACCGATGACGGCGACGCCGCGCATCCATCGGGTTATCATCACCATCACCATCCCGGACGCGAACCGCTCGTTGATTTCCAATCTCCCGCAGTGTACCTCCGAGTTCAGGCTCAACCGCCGGTCGCGGATAGATCGCAGCCGTTCAATCGGGCAGACGACGGTCCTGTAGACCTCGCGATGGACGGCGGCGATCATCCGGAGGGTCTCAAGGGGGGCTCTCCTCGGAACGATGCCGCTTCCCCTGACCGCACCTTGATGCGAAGCGCTCCGCCGTGTTCGGGGGAGGACTCCGCGAGAGCAGACTCCGCGGGAGCAGACTGCGCGGTAGCAGACTCCGCGGTAGCAGACTCCGCGGGTTTTGACGTCGCGCAGCAGCCGCGCGCGCGGGACACTGGGAGACCTGGGCGCGGAGCAGCGCGACGTTGGAGGGGTTGCGGGTATTTCGAGCTGCTGCCCGACAGCCTGTGCGGCAAGATCGCGTCGTTCATCGTGCATGCCAAAAGCCTCGTCGCCTTCCGCTCCACCTGCTCGTATCTCCGGGTGAGAAACAACCATATTTCTTGAAAGAACGCTTTACTAGCGCAGCAATGCGGCACGTGCTCGCTCGGATCCCTTCCCTTCCCACACGCACCCTTTCCCACAAAACCCCACCCCCCCTCCCCCTCTTCCCCCCTCCCCTCTCCCCTCTCCCCTCCTCTCCCTCTCCCCGTCCCCCCCCCCCCCCATCTCCCCTCCCCCAGCGCGTGGTGCGGGTGGGCGGGGCGCTGGTGTTCCTGGCGGAGGACTTCCCCCACAGGGAGGCGGCGGAGAGGGGCATCACGCAGGCGCTGCTGCAGGCCACGGCCGCCGTCACCTCGCTCTACGTCGAAGCTCCGCCCGCCTCCGACCCCTTCCAGGTGTGCTCGCCCCGCCTCGACCCCTTCCAGATGTGCTCGCCCCGCCTCGACCCCTTCCAGGTGTGCTCGCCCCGCCTCGACCCCTTCCAGGTGTGCTCGCCCCGCCTCGCCCCCTTGCTGGTGAGCAGCGTTGAGCTTCAGTGGGCTCTCAGCTACAATCACCTTCAGTACTCAGCTCAAAAGCATTATTAAAGCTCAAAAGCATTATTATAGCTCAAAAGCATTATTATAGCTCAAAATCATTATTATAGCTCAAAAGCATTATTTTAGCTCAAAAGCATTATTATAGCTCAGAACCACCTTCTTAACCTACCTTCGACTCACCGTCCTCCCACGTCCCCCCACTGTCCCTCACCCCTCTCCCCCTCCCCATCCAGGAGCTAGCGGTGATGACGTGGTGCCTGGCGTGTCGCGACTCCCTAGAAGAGCGCACCTGCTTTCCCTCCCACATTCACCCGACCTTATCCCCCACCTTCCCCTCATCTTCCCCCCACCCTCCCTCCCCGCTCTCCAGGAGCTAGCGGTGATGAAGTGGTGCCTGGCGTGCAGGGACTCTCTAGAAGAGCTCACTCTCGTGGACGGCACAGCAGACGCCGCCATACACCATGCCCAGGCCCACGCTGCCGCCATCGCTGCTGCTGCTGCTGCTGCTGCTGCCGCCGCTGCTGCCGGCTCTGCTGCTGCTGCTGCCGCGGCTCCTCCCTCTGCACCTGTAGATCTGCCAGCAGCAGCTAGAAGAAACGGCACTGATGCTAGCGCCAGTGCCACCACCAGTGCTCCTGTTGCTGCTGGGTCCAGACAAGGAGAGAGTGAAAGGCAGAGCCATGGCTTTGATAACGGCGGTACTATTGATCGAAGCAGCAGCGACAGCTCTGACAACGGCGGCAGTGGCAGCGGCGGCGGTGGCGGTGGCGGCAGTGGTGGTAGCAGGGACGGTGCTGCTGCTGCTGCTGCTGGCACTGCCGCAAGGCTCCCCCAACCACCCTACCACGTCAACTTATCCCGTGCCCACCAGCGGGCAGCAGCAGCGGCAGCGGCAGAGGAAGATGAAGAAGTGGAGGAGCAACCGCAGGAGTGGAAGCTGGAGCACGCGTCGCGCTGCCGCAACCTGCGCCAGCTGTACCTCGAGAACGCCGTCTTTGACTGCGTCTCCACGCTCCACCGCTGCTCGCCCTTCGCCTCTCTCACCCACCTGACCCTCGCTAAAGCAGTGGTGGCGGGGGACATGGTGGGGGATTTATTAGCCTGCTGCCCGCGGCTGCAGGAGCTGACGCTGCTGCTGTGCTCGGGGATCGGGCCACTGGACCTGATGCATGCGCCGTGTGCTGAGTTGAGGAGGTTTGAAGTGAGGCTCAGCAACCGCGCCGCTAGGAAGGATGCTTGTCTGGAGTTGCTCCGGCTGAACGCTCCCAACCTCGAGGTACGGTGCAGCTCTTTGGTATGTCGTGCCCTGAACCCCAATGAACTGCAGATTTGAACCCTAGACCTTCAACTTATCCTATGAACCCTGGGCATTAACCATTTAACCCTGAACCCCAGTTTTTGAACCCGAGACCTTGATCCCTGGATTCATGTATGTCTTGCTGCCACGGGCAGGGCCTGGAGTTAGAGGTGGATTGGCCGCCGGAGGGGCAGCTTGTTCTGAGGCACCTCCCGCTTTGTCTTTTTGCCACTGGTAACACCCGGAGTTGGTTTTTTTTTATTCTCACAAGCTTCTGAGGCACCTCCCCCTTCTTTTTGTTGCCTCTGCCAGGATTTAGAGCTGGAGGTGGACTGGGCGCCGGAGGGGCGGCTGGAGCACGAGCTGTGGGGCGACATCCGCATCGAGTCGGGGCGGCTGAGGCGCATGTCACTGGAGCTCGCAGCTGGCTTCCAATTTCATGCCAACCCCGATGCTTTTAGCCGCCTGACCGAGCTCAAGGTACGGTCAGGTTCAAGCCTGTTCTTTGGTTCGACTCAAAGGGGCCGGCTGCGGCGCATGTCTCTGGAGCTGGCTGCTGGCTTGCGGTTTCACGCCAACCCCGATGCTTTCAGCCGACTCACGGAGCTTAAGGTACGGCTGTGACTTGTGTGTGCGACCAGCCTTCTCACCAGCCTGAGTATGAGTCGACTTGAAAGGGCGGCTGCGGCGCATGTCTCTGGAGCTCGCTGCTGGCTTCCAGTTCCACGCCAACCCCGACGCCTTCAGCCGACTCACCGAGCTCAAGGTACGGTCAAGTTTAAGCCTGTTTGTGAATTTGTGCAACATGTTTGAAGCAACAGACACTGAACGGAGCAATAAGCAGGCGATGATTGGAGTTGCAAAAAATGTGTGGGGTGCTCTTGCTCTCACTGGTCACTCTCAGTGGTCACTCTCAGTGGTCACTCTCAGTGGTCACTCTCAGTGGTCACTCTCTGTACGAGCTGTATCTCACGTTCTGCATCAACCCCTCCTCCCCTTGCTACTCTTCCTTTCTCCCTACTTCCAGCTGACAGGTGGCGACTGGAGTTGGGGCACAGTGCGAGCCATCTTAGACCTCAACGCTCTCTCTGTCTAGGAGCTCTCGCTCACATGCTACATCGACCCGCTCACAGCCGCCTCCCATTGTTCCTGCTTGCCCTCCCTCTCCCTTTCCCCAGCTGACAGGCGATGACTGGAGTTGGGGCACGGTGCGCGCCATCCTTGATCTCTGCGCACTTTCTCTCGAGGAGCTGTCTCTGACTTGCTACATTGACCCTCTCACAGTTGCCTCCATTGATACTGCAACGGCATTCTTCTCCTCTCTGCCGTCACTGCGGTTCCTGCTGCTCTGCCCCTCCGTCTACTACGTTATGATCGCCACACTAGGGGAAACCAAAGTAATCAGGGTATGTGTGTGCCATGCTGGGGGATAGGACGGTTATCAGGGTGAGTGTGTGTGCGCACACCAAAGTGGCAAAGAGCAGTGGTGTTGCAAGGGGCAGGTAGGGTATGCAGCCCTCGCTGCGCTTCCTGCTGCTCTGCCCCTCCGTCTACTACGTCATGATCGCCACGCTAGGCGATACAAAAGTCATCAGGGTACGTGTGTGCCATGCTGGGGAACAGCAAAGTCATTCGGGTGAGTGTCCATCCGCCCGCTGCCTTAGGCTCAAATCCCGCTGCTTGCGGTGCCGTGGACGTCGCTTCCTGCTGCTCTGCCGCTCCATCAGCTACATTATTATTCCCACACTGGCTGACACAAAGGTCATGAGGGTATGTGTTTTTGCATACCAGAGTGGCAATGGGCGGTGATGCCAGGGTCTGGTACATTGTGATACGAGCTGGTTTTTGAGAATTCTCAAAAATGGGCAGTGATGCGAGGGCCAGGTACATTGTGCGTCCATTGCTGCACTTTCAGCTGCTCCGCCCCTCCGTCTCCATTCGTCGTGATTGCCACGCTTGTGAGCACACCCCGTAAACTCACCCTCTCTTGAGTCGCTCGCTTGTGAGCACACCCCGTAAACTCTTGAGTCGACTCAAAAGTCAACTCGCTTGTGAGCACACCCCGTAAACTCACCCTCTCCCACCCCCCCCCCCCCCCCCCCCCCGACTCTCCAGGCGCCCAGTTCGAAAGAATTTCACGTGGAGTATCACGACCACGCTATGGCCATCATTGCATTCCTCACCGCTATTCTGCGGGGCACTACTGAACTCATTCCTCACCGCCTCCACCCCCACCCCAGGCGCCCAGCTTGGAAGGGTTCCAAGTGGAGTATCACGACCACGCCATGGCAGTCATCGCCTTCCTCACCGCACTGCTCCTCTCAAGCAGTTCAACAACTGCATCAATCTAAGGCATCTCTACCTCCTCCCCTCCTCTCCCTCCAGGCGCCCAGCCTGGAAGAGTTCCACATCGAGTATCACGACCACGCCATGGCGTTCATCGCCTTCCTCACAGCGCTGTCCCACTGATGCACTCCAGCAACTGCATCACTCAAAGGCATCCCATCCCCTCCTCCTTCCCCCCCCCAATCCTCCAGGCGCCCAGCCTGGAAGAGTTCCACGTGGAGTATCACGACCACGCCATGGCAGTCATCGCCTTCCTCACCGCCCTCCTGCGTGGCAGCCCGCGCCTGCGGTGCATACAGCCCATGGTCACGGTGCCTCAGGAACCGGGCACTGACTTGCTGGGGGACAAGGACTTCCGCCAGGCCATTGCTCGCTTGCAGGCTGAGTTCCCCCGCGTGTCGTTCCCGTCTATCTGGCAACTGACGTGACTGCACACGCTCAGGCCATTGGTGGTATGCCAGGCAACATGCAGCAGCCTTAGAAGCGCCTGCGGTGCATACAGCTCATGGTCACGGTGCCTCAGGAACCGGGCAGTGACTGTTAGGAGACAAGGACTTTCGGCATGCCATTGCTCGCCTTCAGGCCGAGTTCCCCCGCGTGCCGCTCCCCTTGGAAGGCTGTCTTAGGGTGAGGGTTTGGTGCATCGTGTAGAGAGGGTGTTTTTGAGACCGTCTCAAAAACGCCCATGGTGACGGTGCCGCAGGAGCCACGAGCCATGCACTGACCTGCTGGGAGACAAGGACTTACTATGCCAGGCCATCGCCCGCCAGGCGCTGTTCTGCGCTGCGCTGCAGCAGGGCCTACTTTTGGATTCTAGGTACTCTGATTTCCAGAGTAGATTTTTTCCCAACTCTGAAATCTAGGGTTGTTCATGCGCCTTACTCTGATTTGTCAGAGTAACCCTACACTTAAAAAAATAAAACCTAGGCACGTCAGAGTAATATTTTTCTCTACTCTGATGTTGGTTAAGTTTGCTGTATGAAAGTTTTTGTTACGCCTTTTGTGCTTGCACTATGTTTCATTTCCGCGTCGCCCACGTTTCCCCCCTCGGTGCGTTGTTTCCAAGTGAGGTGTTGGCACCGATAATCTGACTCAAGGAGAGGGAGGGGAGTGGCTGACAAGTGCGCTGGTTGAGAAGTTGTCAAACTTCTGTAGCCAATCAACGCTCATATTGCCCCCAACACACGACCGAAATCAGGATAATAATCTCAACGATTCGGGGAAAACCCGCTAAACGTGGGGAGGGGGAGGGGGGGAGGAGGGTGGGTGGGTTTCGGCTAGGGGGCATGTATTCCCTATACAGAGTAAATTCGGTCCCTGAAAAAAAACCCCAGAGGCCTCAGAGTAACCTACAGCATAACTCTGACAAATCAGAGAAATCTTAAGTTCCAAAAAAAAAACCCAGCGGGTACAGAGTTACTTTAAAAAATGACTCTGATTTTCAGAGAAAGAGAGTAATTTACTCTGATAACGTGGGGCCTGCGCTGCAGCCAACCCACAGCGGTTACGCTGACTGACTGACTCCAAGGCCCAGCACTGATAGTCTTGACAGTCTGACCTGTTGCACCACTAGCTCTGGATTAAGGGCGTATTCCTATCCTCCTATCAAGAAAACCTCCTATCAAGCTCTCACTGGAAAATTCCCTAAACCCGAAATCTCTCGCTACTTTTACCAGGCATAAGGTACAATCTTGATAGGAGGTTTCTCTTAAACTAGGCTAGGAGAGAAGTATCGAAAAAGTGGTGATTGAGTAGTGAGAGGCAAGGGATACAAGTGTCGACCTAAAGTGTTGTACCCTTTAGAGGGCAACTCACTGTAGCCTAGACTAACAATATAAAGAATATATAACATTTGACACACCCCCATAGGCTAAGTGAGGGGCATCAAAGCAAGCAAGGTGAGCACACGGTCACAAGACCAGTCAACGCAAGAAACAAGGCAAGCTCGGGGTGGATCTCAAGGATACCACACAAATTCCGAGCACATGCAAGTGGCCACAAGGCCAGTTCAAGAGTTCACTAGAATATAAATAGGAAACACAACAAGCAGAGCAAGCAACAGGACTACAGCAACCGAGGGCCAACCTCAACAAGCCCCAACTGCACACAGAACCTGTGGTGGTCACCAAGCGCTAAGGCCTTGGTGAAAACGTCTGCAGTGTTGGCCTCTGAGGCCACAAAGTCCAGGCGAGCCTGGCCGCATCGCTGCAGCTCTCGCAGGAGGAAGTACCTCACGTCAATGTGCTTCACTCTGCTCTCCAGTCGAGGCTCTCGAGACAGGAGGATCATGGCCTTGTTGTCAGCGTACAAGGTCGGTGCAGAGCGAGGCCGCTCACCAAGGTCGGCAAGCAAGAAGGTCAACCAGCGAAGCTCCTGTGCCGCCATGGCACCAGCGTAGATCTCTCCCTCTGCGCTGGAAGTAGCCACAGACGACGACCGTGTAGACCTCCACGACACAGCACCAGCTCCCAGGCTGAAGCAGTAACCCTGAGTCGAGCGCTGAGTCTCCACGTCGTCAGCGTAGGAAGAGTCGCAGTGACCAGTCAACACCACTTGCTGAGTCCCTCCAAGCACAAGCCCCATGCCTGATGTAGTCGCCAGGTACTTCGCCACCCTCACAGCTGCTGTCCAGTGGACAGGACGGTGTCTCCCAGTCGCAACAAAGCGAGAGAGGACGCTGAGGGGAAAGGCGAGGTCCGGCCGAGTACAAGTCATCAGGTACATGAGGCAGCCCACCAGCTCTGCGTAGGGACCACTGGACTCAAAAGGCTCGTCGGGAAAGGGGCCAGTGAGTCTGTGGTCAACAGCAAGAGGAGTGGGCTGTGTGGTGGAGAACTGGAAGTCGAACCGCCGAAGGACCTGCTGCACCATGTGTGACTGCGACAGTGTGATGGTGCGAGCGGCTCTGTCCCGGGTAATCTGCAAGCCAAGGTAACGCTGCAGCTCACCCAGGTCAGTGCACTTGTGTCTCTTCTGCAGTTCGGACTTCACCTGAGCCAGGGCTGCTCTGTCTGCTGTAGCAAACACCAAGTCGTCGACGTAGACAAGGATAAAGAAGGGAGAAGAACCCCCTCGAACAAACAACGACGGGTCGGCGGAGGACGGGCTGAACCCAAGGTCACGAAGCGTGGAGCGAAGAGTGTCGTGCCACTCATGGGGCGACTGGCGGAGACCGTAGACTGGTCGCCTCAGGCTCCACTGGGTCCCAGGTGGGAAAATGTCAGTGAAGCCAGGAGGACGGCGCAGCCAGATCTCCTCGTGCAGTCGGCCCTGGAGGAACGCAGTGGAGAAGTCGAGGGAGTGCAGCTCGTAGTCTCGCTGCACTGCTATGTGGAGTAACACCCGAAGAGTAGTCATCTTCGGGGTCGGGGCGAAGGTCTGGAAGAAGTCAACTCCCTCACGCTGACTGAAGCCCCTAGCCACGTAGCGCGCCTTGAACACCGGCGGTGCTCCAGGCGGCCGCTTCACCTTGAAGAGCCACATGCCATCGACTACGTTCGCCCTGGGAGGGGGAACTGCGTCGACGTAGGTGCCTGTGGATCTCCAAGACGCCAACTCTGAGTCCATAGCCGCTTTCCACTGAGAGGCCCACACCCCTGACACTGCCTCGCGGTAAGTGCGAGGAGTCGGTATGTCAAGGGCGTCGGGGTCTCCCTCAGGGGAGAGCAGCATGGCACACACAGAGGGAGAAGCGGCTGCCCAGTACTCCAGCTCAGACTCTCTGTCCTCTAGGACGTCACAGCCAAGGGCAAACTCACCCCCGACAGACAGAGGACGGTAGGGAGGAGCTGGCACCACACGGGTGGCGTAGTCAAGGCGGCTGGCGGCAGCAAACTCAGCGACAGCGGCAGTGAGAGCAGAGACCGACGACGGAGGGAAACGAGAGTCGGTGACAAGAGTGGCGAGGACACGTGCGGCAACAGGACGAACAGTGCGGTAGTAGTCAGTGATAGGAGTGGGGAGGGCTGGGAGAGAGGACGGAGAAGGAGACGGGAGAACGGACACAGGAGAAGGAGAACGACGACGAGACGTACAAAGGAGGGCAGTGTGGAGGTCAGTAACAGGGGACGAGTGACGAGCACGCGGAGGACAACGAGTGACCAAGTCGCGACGGACCGAAGGAGGAGACTGGGGAGGAGTAGAAGACCAGACCGCCGGACGGTCGTCAGGAGGAGGCAACGGAGGAACAAACACAGGAGGAGACTGGGGGCGGACAGGAGGAGAGGAGGAAAGGCCAAGGGCCCGCAGGCCACTCACAGGTGGGAACAACTGCCGCTCCAGAGGAAGCTGCGGTGGCGGCGGCGGCTGCTGCTGCGGCGTCGGCGCCTGCGGCTGCGGCTGCTGCTGCTGCGGCGGCTGCTGCTGCTGCTGCTGCTGCTGCTGCTGCTGCTGCTGCTGCTGCTGCTGCCGCTGCTGCTCTAGAAGTTCCAGTACCCGCAGCTCCTGCCGCTCCCTCTCCAACCGCTCCTGCTCCTCACGCTCACGCCGGCGGGCAGCCTGGAGACGTGTGTCGTGGCGGTGGGGAGGCGGAGTGGACTCCGCAGAACCAGGGTCAGGCTCCTCAGACTCAGCACCCCCAGAACCAGCACCTCCAGTGCCAGGACCTCCAACTCCAGCACCCCCAGAACTAGCACCACCAGTGCCAGCACCTCCAGCTCCAGCACCCCTAGAGCTAGCGCCACCTGCGCCAGCACCTCCAGCTCCAGCACCCCCAGAGCTAGCGCCACCTGCGCCAGCACCTCCCGCTCCAGCACCCCCAGAGCTAGCGCCACCTGCGCCAGCACCTCCCGCTCCAGCACCCCGCGACCGAGTACCCCCAGACCGAGCACCGCCACCGGCTGCACCTCCAGCTCCAACACCAACCGAGTCCACAGTAACCTGTCGCGGAAGTGCCGAAGGCTGCTGAGGGGACTGTGAGGAGGACTGTGGGGAGGGAGCCGCTACCTGACGCGCGACCGAGGGTAGAGGGGTAACGTGGGACACACCAGACGGGGCAGGACCAGGGGGGGGCGGGGGTACCGGAGGGGCGGGAGCAGGAGGAGGAGAGGGTGCGAGGAAAAGAGGGGGAGGGGGTACCGGGAGACCTCGACAGGGGTACCGGGTGTAGTAGGACACAGACTCGTCAAACCGGACGTCACGAGAGTCTAGGAACTGGTGGAGGGGCGGGTGGTAAAAGGACCAGTCGGCAGAGTCCACTGGGAAACCAAGGAAGACACAGGGGACGGCGCGTGCCGAGAGCTTGTCCGCGGAGGTGTCGCGAACAAGCGCAAGGCAGCCCCAGACTCGAAAGGCCGACCCGACACCAGGGGAACCAGTCCAAAGACTGGTCGGTGAAGCCTCGGGCCGCGAGACACGCGGCTGGAGGTTCAGCTGGTGTGCGGCGTAGCGAACCGCGTGAGGCCACAGAAAATGGGGCGCACGGGCATGG